TTTGGAATACATTTTTCCCCACAGCAACGACTTTCTGGCTAATGCATTATTTAAGGAGAAGCAAGGTTTTTAGTCAGTACAGGGAATCTAAACATGACTGCTTCATGTTCAGTACTCTGCTGTCTTCAGGAACTTCTGTCCATTACCCAATTTCTCAGTGCTGATAGTTAAACGGAAGATTTTTAGCTGGCAGTACTTTTTGTTTTACATGGTATCTGAAAACTAAGCCAGTTGCCTTGCAGTCATGTATGTATTTCAGAAATCAGGGTGTTTATCTTAATGTTTCCAGACTTTGAGCCTTTTCAGGCCGCTGAATTTTGATGGAACTTCTCAAACAATTTAATTTGTTTAATTCTCATTCAGAACAAAGTCTCAAGGTGGTTCTTATTTTATTCACGGCCAGTTGTTCACCCCTTCTGCTTTGCAGTCATCACCTGTAAAAAAAAGATGCTGAGATCAGGACTTAGAGGGTAGCTTTGTTGATGGGGGGAGGAGGGAGGCAAAGAAGATTGGCACACGGTTCTGCCTTCAAGCACTACATTAGCTCAGGAGTGCTGACTTCAGTGAAAACTTGTTTTTGACAGTATTCAACACAATTTGCATGTTACTCAAGAGGCACAGAGGGAGCAGATATGGACAGGGTATAGTCACTTCCCTGACCACAAATATTCAACCTCCTCTGAAAATGCCCACTTGACATTGCCGAATGAGGCAGAGCTGACCAACTGCACCGCTCCCCACTGCTGTTGACAAGTCTTAGATGGCTTGGCATTTTTTAAGTCAATGAATCAGCCATTCCTACCCCCTCTGCTTTCCTAATATATAACAAATCTCAGCTCGGGCACAATCCAGAAGCATACCAGAGAGTCCTTTTTTAATAGTAATGGACTTGGATTTTCCAAACAGACTATTGAAAAACAAACTTAGCTGTTAGGATGCACACGTGCTGCCGAATGGCTTTTGGCCACACCTCTCTGAGATGAAATCTGGTCGGCTTCCTAAACAAAGGGAGGGCAATTCCCAGCAGTAATACTTTCCTTTGAAGTCACCTATGCAATTATTGGCAGTATTTTTCTCCTTGGGGCAACAATGATGTAAACAGTTCAGCTAATGGCTCCAGATCAGGAGTGACTCTGAAAGCTAACACCAGGCTATTGAGAGAGGATCAGATTTCTCAGGACAGTAATGGCACACGGGCTCCTAGTTCATGCCAGCCCTCGGCTGTGCTTTGGCCTCTGTGGTCATTGCAGCCCAGTGTAAGATCCAGCCTTATGCTTCATGACCAAGATGCATGGATGTTGGTTTGCATAGGAGAGCAGTAGCAAAAACTGGGAAGTATAATGGTAAACTCTAAAACTCCTGTGTACAGCATCCATGCTGGGTTAGTCATAGATGAGGACCTGACCCAAAGTCTTTAGGCTAAGAGCAACATTCTCCCTGATTCCCCCCAAACCACAGCCATCAGCATTTCTCCTCAGGCTTTAAACTGCCCTGAACAATGCCAACTGCTGCACACCCACTATCTATGGGTATTCCTCACACTGTGTGGAAAAAGCCAAGAAAACCTGCAAAAACCAAATGTTCAAACTAGGGACACCTGGGAAACAACTCTCCCCTGGCTCATTAACTCCTGAAAAGACTTTAACCAGCTCTGGCTTGCCAAAAAATAATTCAATTACACTGAGACAACAGAAAGGCTGTTAAGTTAGAAATAAAGAACTTAGCAATGTTCCTAATCATTGTCCATCTTCATTAATGGTTAAGCTTGCTTTCTTTAATTGTTTGTTGTTCCCAGCAGATGTGAACTGATTGAACTGGAAGAAAAACAGCCCAGAGAATCAGCTTGAATATCTCAAGACCTGTAGGCAGGCGCACACAGTTTAAACAGGCACTCAAGCATCCTGCAAGTGGCTTGTCTTGTCTCGCTATGATCTGTTAGCTGAGCAAGCACATATATTTTCAAAAGATTTTTCATTACATACAACATAGAGAGGCTATTCACATTGGATTAAAGCTAAGTAGTGTGTAGGTTGGAGCTGCATCAAGATTTCTATATGCCAAAGTTTAGCCATTCACCTTAAGCTTGATGAGTAACTGTCTATCAGTGTTAGGCACTGGACAGATAATCACATGCCCCAGTAATGTTTAGGTCATTGTTATATAGTGATGTAAATTCCACTGGGATCAACAACAGACAGATCTGCAGCAATCCTGGGGTAGCTGCATGAAGTAGGTGGCTATTAAAGTGCATTGCTACAAAGTGGTAAGGAAGTAGGTGATATCCTTTAGCAAATGCCTTACCAGGAGTGGTCTGGACAGATTAGAGCTAACCCAGTGTAATTTACACTAGTAGACTTTTATCCTAACTTCTTCCAGATTGTGTGAAAGTGCCTTGCTTTAGGGATTTGCATTCTCTGTCTGCTCCTTTTCTACACTGGTGCAATTCAGATTAAACTAGTGAGAACATTTCTAGTCTGTTCAGGGCTGCAGTGATTCAGATGGAACCCACCACTTACCATAGCATCTGAGCACCTAACAGCTTTCAGAGTATTTATCCTTGCAACATTCCTGGTAGGCAGAGAATACTATTAGTCCTAATTTACAGCTGGTGAAGAGAGATACAGTGGGACAAAGGCTCCGATTTTTAAAGGAGGCAAGGATTGCTGTGGGACCTGATGAAGAATGCAATGCATTCAAAAGCTTGTCCCAGGCATACAGTTAGTCCAATACAAATTATCACCCACAATAATCCTCGTCTCTCACATAATTTCTGGATCATCATGGCTACCTCATCACTCCAACACTACCAGATTTTAAAGGCATTTAGGAGCTGAACTCTCATGATTTATTGTTAAGGAATTATGGGAAGTTGGGCTCCTAAATACCTTGAAGAACTGGCCCCAAGTGATTTGTCCAAGGTCACACAGGAAGTCTGTGGCAGGGCAGAAAATTGAAGTTGGGTCTCAAAATCTCAGGTTGGGACCATAACTGCTAACCTAACCTTCCTCTGTTTTATCTAGCCCTACTATTTTAGTCCTGGTCTCCACAACATGGTCAAACAAGTATAATTAGCCAGGTTAGTCTGAAGTCAAAAAGAAGGCAGGGTAGATTTACAATTTATAGACTAACTAAAGAGATATATGTAGCACAAGATTTCATGGACTAGAACTCACTTCAGATGCTGATGAATCACAACATGATGCCAACATGCTCTCCCCCCTCCACCCCCAAATCTGCATCACCTTTTGCATTTCATTCACAGGAATCTACAGCTTTACTAATATGTTTCAGTTCAAACTGTAGTTCCCCATTGATTTACTCACCTATCACATTCCAAATCTCTTACTGGATTTCTTTTAGAAGGCTCCTAGCACCAGTGTGCAGAACGCTTTTTGTTTGAATTGGTATTTTCATTGACCTAAGTGTATAGGCAGGGGAATCCAGCTGTGGAATTGTGGCCCTTGATCTGCCAGTGCAGTTTAGGCTCTTTATTGAACCCAAAGTGCTGATAGCAGCATAGTTGCTAAATGAAGTGTTATTTTTTCCTCGTTGTGGGACTCAAATATTCACTGAGGATTAAGTTCAGTGCACAGCTTCATTGTCACTTCTGACCAATAACCATGAAGCTCTGCTGGAACAAGGTAGGTGTGAGCCTGTTCAGATATAATAAGAGCTGTATCAAACCTTAACCTGACACTTGAACCAAACTGAACTTGACCTTTTTTTCAAATCTGAAAAGTTCACGAAACAATTTTTTAAAACTTTCACATTCCTTTGCCCTCTTTGAGATTTGACTGGAGGTAAAAGCATTGAAATACTCTGAGGAATGCTGTCTTGCAGTATTTCTAACCCTGCTGAAACCAGTATTTCTGACCCAGCTAAACTCTTAAGATTGCTTACCTGATTTCCAGGCCAAAGAAGTTCAGAGAGTTTTGGATAAGGTTCAAATAAACACTCAGGGCCAAATCTTGAGCTGTTTTAAGTCAAAGAAGTGGCACTGACTTCACTGAAGCTATGTCATTTTACAGCACCTGAGGGTTGGGCACTCCCCTTGCTTTTGGTTACTGATTCAGGCCAAAATGTTGAATGCTTCCTCACTAATAATCACTTATTCATTATGCTCTTCATATTAAATGAGCGTCAATAGCAGGCCTTGCATTGGACAATAACATAAGATACAGACTCATGGACCTTTCAGGCTAGTCCATAGTTAGACAAAAACAATTCAGACATCAATCTTGAACTCATATCTTAAAGAAAATAAAAAGCCACTATCCATTAGGGCCCAGCTTTCAATAAGGTATCATACCTACAACCAGGGACAGATTTTCACTCAATTCTCCACAGAGATACCAAAGTGGACAGCCAAATTTTCAAAAGAGCTCAACATAAGCTCTGGTTGGGCTTTTCCAAGTTAAACCTTTGTTTTTTGCTGGAAAGTGTTAGAAGGTCAAAACCGAGTCTGTCATTTTGACACATCTCCTGATTTTTCAAAAACAAACAAACAAAAACAAGTTCCAGAATTCTTAAAATGTCCAATTTTTCATATTTTCACAATGAAAGATGTAGTATGTATTAGGAATTTTTGGTTTAGAAGTCCACCTGAGATTTAGACAGAATGGTTAAAGTGATAAAAGGTTGAAATGGAACCAAAACATCCTTATTTTCTTTCATTTGATTTGTTTTTTTCAGATTATTATTTGATGAAAATGTTTGAGATTTCATCTTTTCATCCCAACTTGGAATGGGAACAATTGTCAAAATCTCCAGATTCTTTTGTGGAATGTGAAAACTCTTCCTGCCAGCTGTATTCGACCTATTTAGTGCTACACTCTTTGGGAAAGTATTGTGATGAGATCGAATGCTAAGTACTCAACATTCCCATGAAATGGAATGAAATCATTTGCCCATGGCTTGCATGAATTAGTGCAGAGAAATGATAACTCAATCTGAGGTCTCTTATATGCAAAGGAACAGGTGAAGCCTTGTGACTAGGACATAAATAAGGAGACTCATATTATATTTCTTAGATTGCCCCTCGCTCTCCATATATCCTTCTGATAAACCACTTTAATAACTCTCTCACATTTTGCCACCCTAAATTACCTTGAGATTCACCTTACCCTTGGTGTTGTCCCACTAATGGAATAAGGTAGGTGAAAAAGCTTTTGGAATTATTCTGTATATGAATGACAGGTGTCCTCAGAAGAACCTCTGAGCAGAAGAATAGAACATTAGAAAAGGAGATATTGTCCATTCTAGGGATAATTAAAAACAACAACCAAAGAGGTTTCAGCCAACCAAGACTGAATGGATTCTGCCTTCCAAAACCTGTAATCGAGCAGATTAGAATTCCCTCTGCAATTCAAAAAATTATATGGGGGGGGGGGCATTCCTAGGTTTAACATCCATTAAGGAAAGCTCATTTAATCAACTGTAAAAACAAAAATACCAGTGTCTCCAGACAGTTCTTTAAAGCAGGTTCCCATGGTTCTCACTGGAAGGTTTCACCCCTGGGGAAGGGCGATCATTTTAATTTCAATGAAGCAACTGCATGTTGCTGTTCGCTCATGGACAGCAGAGACTTGTACTCAGGAGCTGGGCTTGAACTTGACAGCACCTCATGCAGAACCTCAGATGCTTCAGCCATACTCTTCTGGCTAGACCTGTGTCTCCAGCTCCTGCTTTTATCAGAGAAGCTATTAAACTACCTTTAATACCATCAAGCTCAAATAGACAGAAGGGGGTGCTCCTTGATACTATAAATAGACAAATATGGGCTGCTAGATTATTAAATATGGGTGTGAGTGTGGTAGAGTTTGGGATCTTTGTTTTTCCCACCAAAAGCGGAGATGACAATCATGGGTTGGGAAGTCTTGGTGCTTCCAATGAAGTTAAGATTGTATCATGAGCAACAAGTGTTGCTACACTCCTAGTTCAGCTACTGACTGCCCTTATACTCCTTTGGTAGCAGTTGTTAGACCTCAAATGATAGGATCAAGATGCCAGGGTAATATATCCTCATTGATATATGGCCACACTCCTTACTGTCTGCAGCCAAATTATTGCTGTGTGGTTGTATATGGGTTAGATGCATTTGTCGCATCCATCTCCTGCTTCTCACTCTCACTCTCACACTGTTTCCAAAAACTGTTTTGGACCTATAGCCTTTTGGTTTCCACCAAGAGAGCAGGTTGTTTGGTTCTAGAAAACTCCAGAGAAAGAGAGAAAAGGCTCTGGTTCTTCTCTCACTTATACTACTTGTGAACATTATTGTGTTTCTGCTGATTGCCATGAAATTACCCCATGAAGTTACTTACCCTGGAGCATAAGAGAAGAGAATGAGGTTCAGAGAGCCATATTCCAGTTCCAGTTCAGGAGCTTGTATTATTTGATTTACATGATTGGTCTCAAACAGGTTGGTATCTTTTCCGTCATAGTTTCTCGTTCCTCTCCATTTCCTCCATGGTTGAAAGTTTTCTTCCTAAGACCCCTCTGAATCAGTATCTTCATTCATACTAGATTCAATTTCCCCTGCTCCCTATATGCAGTGGTAGGGAAGTTAACAACCTGTGGGACATACTCTTATGAAAGGAGAGGTATATGGATCAACCCAGTGCCCTCCTTCTTGCTAAGGGATTGTCAATTCTTCAGCATCAAAATCCATGTTGCAATGACACTATACAAAGGCCTTGTCTCATGAGACCTTGACTCATGATACCATTGATTGGCCTGTGGATTAGACATACCTATGCAAAATTCTTCAAAAGTTATTTGTCTGAAGAAACAAGGACAACAATAGTAACACATATGTAGGGACCCTTATTTAGCTAGCTGTGTTATATTATTTATACAGTCTGGAAAACTTAACAAAAGGGATGTGACAGAAGTTCTCTGTAATAAGTCATTTGGACTAACAGTCTTTGGGAATAGGGCAGCTGCTGACTCTGCTGCTGATTTGCTGTGTCACCTTAGATATGTCATTTCACCTTCCTGTACTGCTAACCCCTTTGAAAAAAGGATTGTATCTCACTGTGTGCTTGCACAGTGCCTGACAGAATGGGGTCCCATTCAGAGTTGGGGGCTAAGCCACTATAGGAATATTAAGAAACATTCTATAAACCATTAAATATATTTTTACTTCTTATTAACAAGTTGCATGCCTTACGTGCTTGAACACCTGTATTTTAGAGCCCTGGCATTGGGGCAGTGGCTGTTTTAGTTTTTCCCCTTACGCTGTATGGAATAACTTATCTATAGAGCCTGATGTATCTTGGCATGTTCCTCACAGCTGCCCAGCTGTGGCTGTGGAGTGGGAGGAGTGGAAAGCATCTGCCAGAGAAAGGGAACATTTGTGAGAGGTGATGAAGAAGGCTTCATTCAGATTCCTCCCCCTCTTGAACATCTGGACAGATAACAATCCTTCCAGAAAAGATTTAAGGAGCAGGCAAAGCCTCCTGGAAATCTTAGAAAAACACCCAGCTTAAAAACAACTCAGAGCTCTGATACAGGAAGGCTCAGGACTTATGAATAGGATACCAGAGCCTGTCACCTATAGGTCAAGGGTCTGTAGTCAGTGAAGGTCAGTAGAAAACAAATGGCTAGTTCCTGTTACCTTTGTGCACCATGTGAAAATGGTAGGAGTTGCACTATTGATTTTAGCTGGAGAAAGATTGGGTCCTAAGTGCTTTAAAATATAATGTACTTATTTTGTGAGGTGCTGTGCTTCCTCTATTCCCACTGGCCTGGTAGGAAACTAAAAAAAAATTAGCATTTCCAAGGAGGTCTTTGGCACGTTGTAGAAGTGATCTCTAACACAGGTGGTCAGTGGCTTCTGTGAAATGAAAGATGGCTAGGTAGACAGAGCAGTAGGAATGAATCTCAATCCAGGACTGAATCAGCCATGAAACCTGAATCAAACATATGACCTCTCCCTCTAGACAAAACTACAGTCAGATCAGGATGAAGGCTATTAGATATTTCAGCAGTTGATGTCCATATTATAACTCCTCTGTGGATAAACAGGAGATTTCAACCAGTCTCCTGTGCTGTCAGTCTGGTGCCTTTCACCTATGCCAATTTACAAAAAGATTTCCATAATCAAACAATAAGTAAAGAGCTTGTCTGGAGCTAAGTCCTTGACCCATGGGGGATGCCAAATCCTTAATTAGGGATAGGCCTCAAATTTATTAAAAGTTCTCCTCCTTCCAGACCTCCCATTTTTATTTTGTAGAAAAACTTCCACCCTATGAAAAATAGAGAGGGGGACACAAAATGTTTAAAGGTCAAAGCCTTAGCTGCAGTAAATCAGTGCAGCTGCTTTGAAGTCAGTTGAACTTTGCTGATTTATACCGCAGGACTCATCCAAAGTCCACTTAAATCAATAAGTCTTTCCTTTGACTTCAAGGGGCTTTGGATCAGTCCCTAGGTAAGGCGCTGTCCTTGAAGCTATTAAGTTACTCATCTGTTTTCTCCCCTCCGCAGTACTTCATTCCCATGAGCCTCATCAGTACTAACACACTTTCGGCATCAATGCAGCAGTATATTCTCTCTAGTTTCACTCTTGTCAGCTGCATGTAACCCTATGTGAACATATAGTAACACTAAGATAGGACGAAAGCCAGCATCCCACACAGAGAAAGCTATAACACTCTAAGCAGTGATTGCTATAGCAATGGGTATTTGGTCAATTCTATAGCAAACGGAGATAAATAGAAAAAGACCAGTCATTCTTCTGGTCTTGGTTTGTGCCTCAGGTGAAATTCATCCCTGTGTAGACACCTACCAATATTGAAGTCTGTAAAATAGGGTTTAAAAAGGACTTAACTATTGCATAGATATTATGCTTTTCTATATAGGGTTGAAATTGATCCTGGGATGAGTGGAACAGTATCCTAGAATGAACAGAACACTTTGAAGCAACACGGAAAAAAAGTTCAATTTCCATGCGTTTTCCTTGACAAAACATGTATTGCTTGCAGTCCTAGAAGTCAGAGATGAAAACAAAAAAATCCTATTAAGCCATCCACTAGAGGCCAAAGTCGAATTGTTCCACACAACTTTTCTCCAGTCCTTGTCCAGTCTCATTTCAAACATGTTAATCCACAGAGCTTTCATGGCTTTCTTTATAAAGGCCTTTTGATGGAAGGTGGCAGCTGGCTATAGAGTGTGGGAAAATCTGCGCCCACCTTGCCTGACAGTTTGCTGTCAACAGCTGGGAAAACTGGGGTCCAGAGAGTTTTGGAGAAACATGTTCAAAGCTTGGGCAGCTGCATAGAGCCATTTGGCGATTGAGAGGCTCAAGGTGGGGAGTTGGACGCCATGAAGGTCTCCAAAGTTGGGGTTTGGTGGGTTGTCAACTTACCTGAGCCTCCATCAGATTATTCACATGGACAAAATCATAGGACACCCTCCCTCAGAATTTTCTGAGCACATCTGGGGGCATTCAAGGACTGCTTCATGTGCTAAAAGTTATCTATATCAAGTAAAACATGATGCAAGTACAAGCATCAATGGGACCATTCAGGAAAGGAAATAGCCCATGCCCTTACCCCCTAACAATCAGTACTCAAACCACACATCAGCAGGGGTTTAAAATGTTGGGGGGAGAAGAGGGGAGGAGTCCGGGATTGAAATGCACAGCAAATAATTCAGATTTGTTTCAGGTGCTGAGCTCACTGGAGCAAGGCTCCATTTGTGTTTGAAAGCCAGGGTGTTTACAGTCCTGTGTTTTGTCATCCAAAACTTTTTTGCACAACAGAGATCATGACAGCATAACGCAGGATGAGGGTCAGTGGCTGCATATTAGGGGGGAAAAAACCCTGTTTTTGAAAGATTGCAGGTTCCTGTTAATCAGCCCCTCCTCGCCTGTGGCAGTTGTTAGCACTTGGAGACGGCTGCAGACAAACAGTTGCCAGGGTCTGAAGGGCAAAAATTCCTGTGTCTCAGCCTCTGAATTCTTCAAATAAATCCCTCCAATTCCTGTGTTTTCACAAAGAAATGGCCCGCTGCCGGGTGACCTGGAAGAGGCGATGTAATGCTTTGTCAGCACACACATCTTGCCACAGAAGCGGAGGACCAAATTGTCTTATTAATCATTTAAAAAGTGAAGAGGCAAAAGAAAAATAAAAGCCCAGTCTAGCTAATTGTCAAAAAAATGAGGTCAGAGTTCATTTCTCTCTCCGATGCGGCTTCACAGTTCACTGACTGACAAGGACAGCAAGATAAAAAGAGACAGGGAAGTTTTTATGAAACTCCTCCCCATTCCTCCCAAAGGAGTTATGGATTCAGGAGATTGCCAGAAAGGGGGTTCAGGATTTTGCTGTAGAAAGAAATCCCCTATGCACAGGCTTCAAAGACCCAGGATTCAAGGAGGAGAAGTCTACAGGTTCCCCGGGAGAGGCTCCAGATTTCTGAAACCAAAAAGACCTGTACTCGGTGCTGTCGCCACTTCACAGAGTTACATCAGTATTGCCTATCGTGGTGTTTGTGAGAGTATCTGATTTTTGCAATACCCGGATGGTCCCCACAGCCAGCAATCCAGTGCCATTCCCGGGAGATACCTTTGATGGCCTTATGTTGTGTGTTCTCAGGCTGGGGGATTACCCGCTTCCCTTTCTTTACAGCGAAATAGTTGATCCAGATATCATTCTGAAACTTTATTTCTCTAATAATATGGGAAGGTGACGAAGCACTCCCTGACTTACACCATTTCAAAAGTGATTTCAGGTGTGGAAGGCAGTCACTGGGGTAACTGGGACCTCCTCATCACTGCTGGCCCAGAATCATTCGCTCTGTGGAATCAGGCAGGGAATCCTTAACATTGACTCCTGGTGGGAGAATCGCTCTCAAGAGCCAGTGTGTGAAATAAAATGCAGCCTGGCCATTCAAGCTGGGTCACCGGAGGAGAGTTTCTTGCACTAGGCCTACACAGCACAATCAGAACAGTAATTACACAGGCTTTCACCAATCTGACTAGTTAAATGCTAACTTTAGCCTGAAATTACAAAGGTAGAGAGAAAAGCAAATGTGCTATGTCTGACTTGGAAGAAGAAGAAGAAGAAAAAGCCAAGATAATGTTTGTTTACCTGGGGAAACTCTATTCTGTAGGAAATATAGTGGGATAGCTACAGAAATAAGTGTGGGGTCTCAATTGACTCCTGTAAGGGGTAATGATGACACTCTGCAGTAGCTGTCTTGTGAAAACTCATCAGCTCTAACATTTAGGCTAAATAAAATACTAATATAAGGGCCTATGCCATCTTTACCGAACAGAAAATGCAATTAAAGAAAAAGACTTCCAACTATTAATCAGAGGTGTGACCTGAAAATCTGGTACCCTGGGCAGGGAGACAGGAAAAAGAAGCAAGTGCTTATGCCCTTGCATAGAAGCCACCGTAGTTGTGGGAACAAAGTAGGCTGCTGCTGCCTTAGCATAAGCTCCCCAAACACAAGGTGCCATGGTGGCAATGCCAATATGAGGTCCTCGGGAACTGTCATTCCAGTTACCCCTTCTGAGTTTGTGCCCAAGGCTAGTGCCCCACATTACAGTACTTCTTCTGGTTTAAAGTGTCTCAAGTAGGTAAAACTGGATGCCAAGCAAAGCTGTTAGGAGCAGATGTCTATTGGAAGAAAGGGAGATGCCTTTTAGTTCATCATTTCCATCTATCTAGCCATCTATCTATCTAGCCATCCATCTAACCATCTATCTATCTTTATGAAAAAGATACCTTCCTGGCCAATGCTCTAGACTGAACTAAACTCATAAGTGGTTACAAAACAAAGACCCAAACTTCTCTGGTGGAGGCTCAAAAGGATTCATACCCGCAGAGTACAAAAGGGACCTATGACATACATAGTCACTAACAGATTACATACCAATTTTGACCAAATGAACCGGAGGGCTATAGTAAAGGAGAAAACTAAAAAAGACATAGAATCATAGAAAATAAGGGTTGGAAGGGACCTCAGGAAGTCATCTAGTCTCACTCTCTGCTCAAAGCAGGACCATCCCCAACTAGATCATCCCAGCCAGGGCTTTGTTGAGCCATGCCTTAAAAACCTCCAAGGATGGAGATTCCACCATCTTTCTACGTAACCTATTCCAGTGCTTCACCACCCTCCTTGTGAGAGTTTTTCCTAATATTCAACCTAACTTTCCCATGCTGCAACTTGAGATCATTGCTCACGTTTATAGAGGCAACATGCGTGCCTCTAACCAGTCCTACCACACTGGTTAGAGTAAATGGCAACACTTTAACTGTGTATGTGTTCTATATACCCCATAAGACATACATGAATAGACTAAACATTAACAGAGAGGGAGGCAAGATATTAGCATTACTCGTGGGAGAAAGAAGTTGAATGCCAAAGGGCATGAAAACTCTTTTGCCTTACCTGTTCCTTGTAGCAATGATTAGCTAGATGGGGCTTTATTTCTAGCAAAGGGAGGAAGGGGTAGGATCTGTCTTTCTTTCATATCTGTGAATATGAAGAATTAATCTACTTTCATTTCATAGAAAGGCCTAAAGCAGTCTAATGAAGGAATTAGTGATTGGTCTAGTTTGGGAGAAACTCCTTTTCATACCTGCACCATTGTCCTGGTTTTAATAGAAATATTACTATTACTGTATCACTGCAGGAAAGGAAGCAGGAAAGGACATTTAGCTTTTCTGCTCTCTCTTCCCAAATGTCTGCAAGTGATTTCCTTGGTCATGGGGCTCTGCTACCTTCTCTCCACACACCTCTGAAATGGCTGCTTTGTATTTACTTTCTGAATACAACAGTCATTTAACAGCTAGCACTATGATGGAGGGATGACAAAGACCATCATAACACCACTTTCTGACCTTAAAATCTGTGACTCCATGTTTGTGCAACAGATAGGGTTGCTTAGGGAAACTTCATCAGGAGGAAGAGCCCAAAACTAGTTCAGAAACATGATGATGCAAGTCTTTTTTTTCAGCAGTGGACATAGGAGCTGAAATGAAGACAAAGCGGTCCACAGGGAGATTGCGAGGTAAGAAAAAGGGTTTTTTTTTTCCCTTGTGAGGCTAAAGGAACCCACATGTTTTCTTGACACACCAAAAATCCTCATCAGCATTCAGAGGGCTAGAGCAGCAGGATGGCATCAGCAGGTATAGGGCAGGTACACCATGCTGGCTAGACATTAGCTAAATAAGAACAACACCTAGCATGGGCATTTCCACTGCTGTTCAAAACACAAAACAGTATTGCATGTAAAACACTAAATAGTAAGATATACTGTACTGAGGCTATGAGTCACAAGGAGGAGCATATAAATATTTGTGATGTAAGGACTGTGCATTGAGATATGAACATCTCAGAAAACTTGGCCTTACCCCACCCGTCTAGTCACACCCCACACACATGCACACACACTACACCCTGTCCTTAGCCCTTTTCATCCTGTCTGATTTAGAATAACTTGTATTCATCAGCTGCTGTTGCTGAGGTGCTAATATTTCACATTCCCTTTTTTTGGCGGGGGCATTGATAAGAACCTCTCCTGATTTCAGACCAGAAGAGAGAGGCAGAAAACAATCTTGTTTTCAATACAACCAGGGCTCTGTCTACATGGCTCATCTGTCCATTTGCACAAGACTTTCTGGCCTCATAGTATAACCGTTTCCCTAGAGAAAGAGCAATAGAGATGGGGGAGGAGAGGGAGTGTTGGAAGGTAGCCTGAGGATAACAGGCGTTATAAAGAGGAATTTTTTTCCTGCTGTTTTTGTTTGTTTTACCACAGAGGCTCAGTGGAGCTGGCCAGCAGCCTCACGCAGCAGGTGCTGCCCGAGAATGCAAGGGGAGAAAAATTCCTACTAAATGGAAGCATTATTTGACATTGCAGCCTTTCGCAATATTTTTCTTTTGTTTCAGACAAACTCCAAAGCCTCTTGGGCATCGTGGTCAAGCTGGACTGTTCTGCAGTGGGGGAGGGAGAAAGAAGTGGCTATGCTCTAAATATGCCAAAGAGTCAGGTGAGAGAGACCTAAAGGGACACAACCAGATTCTGGAAATAAGGTTATGCCGGTCCCAAAGGGGCTGGCGGAAGGGCAGAGAGAGGGAGGGAGACAGAGAGAGATACTTAGAGACCCTTCTTGAGTTGTTGTTTTTTTTTCCGTGCCATTTTATACCCTTTTCTTCTGAGAGGAGTTTGACTCAGAGCTCCAATTGAAACTGCCCCCAAATCTGGAGGAGTCTAGATCTAGGTCCACATGCATACTTTATGGCTTTGCTCTGTCCTTGATGGCTTTATTTTTTGGCCATCAAAAGGCTAGAAAATAGAGAGAGAGGATGATCTAGTGGAGAGGATAGCTGATCTCCTTGCTTCTCCACAGCCTTCCTGTGACACCTGGGGCAAGTCATGCAGCCTTTCTTTGCCTCCGTTCCCCCACCTGGAAAACTTAGATAAGGACAACTCCTTAGCTCATAGGGATATTGTGAGGAAAAATACATTAACGGTTGTGAAGTGCTTAGATTCCACAGCAAGTATCCAAGAAAAGCAGAAATCAAAATTTGAGAGAAATTATAGACCTTATTAAAAGAAAACTGCAAGAACAAGGGTTATTTGTATAGGAAAATGTAAAATAACATTCTTTGTTGCTCCCCAAACAATTCCTTTAATCAGAAAGATGATGTTTCAGAGAATTCCTTGTATTTAAAAGTCTTGGATTTAGTTCATTGAACTAAGCAGGAGAAGCACTTTACCCAGTGATACTTCACACTATGGACTTGCTTAGCCTACAGTTCAGATTTTTCTTTGCCTCATTTGTTGTCTTCCCCGGCACGCAACTCATATGGTACTTGCAGCGTAAATTCTTCAGGGAATGGACCATCTTTTTGTTCTGTTTTGTTTTACTTGGCTCTCTGGCATTATGGAGTCCTGGTCTCTGACTAAAGCCCCTAAGTACTACCATAAGAGAAATTAATTTCATTATTCTTATTATCAAAGTATTCTTCATCAGTGCAGATCTCTCAGACATGAATGAAGCCCATAAGCCATTCTGCGCCAAGCTTAATTAATTTTAACACCTCCACGTCACAGCATCCGAATGCAGTCATACACTCAATTTGAGAACAAATTACCTTTCAGTTCCAATCTATGATCAGCCACAGCACACTATCTCTGCAATCACACTTAAAAATTTATAACCTGAAATCCAGTCACAGGTTGCCAAGAGGAAAAAAAAACTAGATTTGCCATGGAGACTAAGGTATCTAACTGCCACTTCAAGCCCCTGGTAAAAAGAAAATCAGTTATCCAAACCCCCACCTGTACCTGATGATAGCTAGATTTCTTATGCATCTATGTTTCCACTGCTGAAATGTTCACAGCGCTGTCTACATCTTAACTGTGTTAAGCAGTTCAGCACTCATCCTAGCAGGCTAAGGGAGGCATTCCTCTGTCCTCTAGGCACAGTTCAGTGGATATGCTCAGAGTGCACTTAACCCCACACAAAATGCTGCAAGGAGGAGGTGTCCCCTCCCCACCCTCCACTTTCTTACCCAATGTTATAAAACACAAGATGTGGTAGACCCTGGGTCAAGTACCTCCTCTGAGACAGAAGATGAGGATCCATCCTAACCACCAGACTATAGGTATTTTGAGGTGGACCTCTCTGTCTCTTCTGTTGTAGCTGTTCCAATATGAATAACAAATATGCATTAATCAAAGGACTCGAATGTAGATCTCTCCTCTACTTCCATAAGGGTGTCTCTACTCTTTCTCTCTCAGTGATTATTTTATTAGCCAATACAAAGTGAACATCTTCAGCAGCAAAGACAGCACCCCATCCCAGAACAGCTTGTAGCTTGGCAGTGTAGGCACTGTCTTAGGAAGTGCACAGCATTCAAATTCCTTTAGGTAGGAGAGGGATTTGGCCCCAGGTCTCCATGATTCCAGATGACCACATGTCTATAGCAGCTCCACGATGCTCCTGAGGAGCATGCCCTTCCCCCTTCATACATGGCAAATCTTGAAATGAATCAAAGAAGACACCCTGAGAGTGCACCCACTAAAAAGAACTCTTTGTCAGGTATGCTGGAAAGTGGCAGCAGGGTGCCTAAAATCAATTGTTGTCAAGCTGAACATAAGTTCCCCTGTGAATCTAACTCCTATTGTCCATACAAGAAGTAATGAACTTGTTGGGGGGTGAAAGGTACAGCAGCTCAGGGCACAGATTCAGAGCTGCAGCTAGGATGGCAGCCCTCAGAGTCCAATCCACCACAGCAGTCCCTGCTAGGGGAAGCTTGCACTGAGCCAGCAGCAGCCTGTGCCACTGCCGCAAGAATGGCAGCCCCATGCATGCTTCGCCCCTCTCCCTGCCACTTGGGATGCCGAAATTTCAAGTCATGCCTTTTTATACAGCTTGTGGGAATACCCGGAGCAGGTTACTTGTAAATGAGATCAGAACAAAATTTAGTAATTTGAGTGAGCTGCAAAGAATTGCTGCTCATCTGTCTATATCTTAGCTCTACAGAGGCAATAAATATTAACCGTTTTCACTCTGCCTGCACTTCAGATGCTAGAGTGCAGTGATCTGCGTGTTAATGGAACAAAGTAAAGAATATCCATTAAATAAACACATCTTTGCTTCTAGCTTGAACATAAAATCTAGGTCAAACCAGCTACTGAGTGGGGAGGAAAAGGCACTATGACTAACGGAATTAAAGGACAGGTAGAGATCAGCTGAGGTGAGTATTACACAGTTCAGTGCTTAGCCTGCAGAATATATCTGCTTCCTGGCCAGACTGGGAGAGAGTGGGCAAGGGCAAAGGTGTATGCCACCAATTGCAAGATGCTCAGAGTCCACCGAGTGCAGCATTTTGAGACCAGAACTGCTGAGCTGGAGGAGCACAAGAGAGAGACTGCTGTTTATGGAGTTAGGTTTTGAGGAGTGTTGTAGAGTTCTCCTTTCACATCAGTGTTGAAGGCCTAGATTTTGAGGCATGGGACAGAGTCAGAAGACCTGAGTTCTATTCCTGTCTCTTCAACTGGCTCCTTCGACCCTGGGGAAAACATTTTACCTATCTATGTCTCCATTCCCCTATTCCCTCCTTGGTATGTCTTGACTATTCAGGCCATATCTGTGCTATATCTCTGCTGAGCCCGGGGCTGCCATTGAGAAACGAGCCTTTCACAAGTACTCCCACTCCACACACACATCCACACCCTGAAGCTGGCCAATGTACACAGCTATGACTGTGTGCCTAATCGCTCAGATTGGGTGTATGTATAGCAGGAGGGAGTGGGAGAGGCTTGTTTCTCAGCAATTAGCTTTACCACAACAGGGAGGCAGTACGGACAGAGCCTTGACTTTGTTTAACATGAGGAGGCTGGTACATGGAAACAGCAACCACATGATCTTGACAAGGTGGAGGTCTGGGCCCAGTGGCAAGGGAGTACCCTAGATGATGGGACACCTCCATCTTGCTGCAGTCTTCTTCCATTTTTACAGCCACTGAGATCCTGACATCTTCCCCTGGATCTGCTGTTGAGGAGTTTGGGTTGGGCAGTTTTTTATCTGGAACTTTCCCTCCGGCCTGTTCACTGGGGGTGACCGTGCCAGGAGTGTGAGACTCTGGACAACATAGCTCTGAGGATCATTGGGACTCACAAGCCTGTCCACCACCACAAGGTCTTAGTCCATAGAGAGGACCACATAGGCTTCTATGACTGGAAATAACATGTTCTCCTGTACCAACCTCCAGTAAGTCCTATGGTGATCGAGACAGAACTAGTGAATCCTGCAGCCATGAATCTGCATGTAGGTGGCAGTAGCCTGATGGTTATCTTGTTCCTGGGATGAAACGGGTGCAATTTGGCAGCTGCTACCATGATAAGTAGTCCTATTCAGGATCCTCTCTGCTCACCCCATATGGGGAAAGGGCTAGAAAAGATGCCCTAAACTTAAGCTGTCTTATCTTCTCCTGGCTGGATAACCATGTCCAATGGGATCACTCTCTCTGCAGTCAAAAACATCGTAAGAAGACACTGGTTTTGCAACATGCAATGTTCACACCTTAATGGATAACTGAGACAATGGACAACCAGAAAGAAGAACTGCCAAATAAATTATATCTTTGAAAATAGCGAGATACAATATTGACATAGTAGCTTTGAGCAAGATAAGATGACTGGATGAGGGTCAGCTGAGGGAAGTGGGTGAAGACTACCCCTTTTTCTGGATGGGAAAACTGGCCCAGGACAGATATGTTCACAATATAGAGCTCCCTATGGGCATTAAGAAACATCTTATGACCCTCCGTCTTAAGTTCAGCCACAACCAGTACGCCACCATTATCAGTGCATACACCCCAATGCTTGATGCTGACAATGATGTCAAAGAACAATTTTACTCCACTTTGTCCCTGTACTGACTACTACTTAGAAGGAGGAGAAGATCATTCTCCTTCGTGACTTAAACACTAGAGTTGGACATGACCTGGAACACTGGAGTGGCACCTTTGGGAAGAAAGCCAGTTCCAGTGGCATCCTCCTCCTGAGCAAATGCATGGAGCACACCAGCACCATGGAGATACAAATTCATGGAGTCACCACAAACACCATCTTCAGGCAGAGTGACAAATACAGGACCATCTGGAGACACTGTTACTGTAAGCACGGGCACCTTCTTAAGCAGGGGTAGTATGTAAGTGACAGCTCATGGCCCACACAGGTGTCCTGGGGTCAGGGGCAGCAGAAGCATGGAGCCTGGACTGGCAGGAGCTCTGCCTACTGCAGTCTGTGAACGCCCTGAGACCTCATCACCTGCTGCTGCCACTGGTGACAGAGGCTGTGGGCACTGAGGGAGGGGTTTTGTGTGTGTGTGTGTGTGTGTGTGTGTAAGGAGGTGTTTGTCCCACTCCCCCACCATACACATGTACCCACACAACCCATGCACACCCCACATCCACCTCAGCCACCCTCACCTTCCACACATGCCACAACTCACCAGCCACCTTCCCCCCCACACTC